CATTTCAAAGCCTCTTTTCCTACTGCCATTTCTAAAAGTCACCACAGTTTAGACTTCTTACTTTTAAGAAAAAGAGGTTTTCAAAGAAAATACATGAGAAATTTCATTCAAAAATTTGGAAGTAAAGCAAGTATCAAAGATTATTTTCTAAAATGTTCATTCATTGAGCTGAATCATGTTTGGATTGTTAATTTTTTGATGGTTTTAATTTTAATATTCAGATAATTCTTTTTATATTTAGATTTTACCAGTACTTTTAAATGATAGCTTTGTGGTTTTTTTGTGTTACCATGGTTTTCACAACTTCAGAAATTAGCATGGGGTCACAGATTCTGGCTCCTAAAATAAGTACAACTGTGAAAAAGACAAAATCTAAGTAATAGTGTTATAGTATGTTGTTTCTTCAGTCTAATGATGCTGCTGTCTGAAACTTATAATATTATACAAAATCCATAGGGTAGAAGAAAAAAGAGTTTTAGAATAAAAAAAGTTGAGTACTTGACACAACAGTCATTCAATAAATATTACTTCTTTTGTTTATTTGTTTTCCCTTTTTCTCCATGCTATTTAGGTGAAGAGCTTCTCAATAGACAAACATTTTTAAAAACAGGAATTTTATCTTTTATCTTAATTTTTCCCTATAATTATTTTAAAAGATTTTAAAAAATTTATTATAGTGCTTAGTAATTGTATTTTCAATTCTTAAAAAAAACAGTTTTTAGATAATTGTTTTTACTGGCCGTGTTGTCCATGGCTCATTGGAGTTCAAATTGCTTGATAAATGTGTTTTCTTTTGTAAATATGTATGTGTGTTTATTTATATATTATAAATATGTATATTTCACAAACCATAAAATTCACTGTTCTAAAAGTTCTTTACACAGTTTAGTTTTTAGTATAAGAAGTTTGTGCAACCATCATAACTATCTAATTCTAGAACACTCGCCACCCCAAAAAGAAACCCTATACCCATTAGCAGTTACTCTCATTCCTTCCTCATCTCATCCCTGGCAACCACTAATCTACTTTCAATCTCTATGGATTTGCCTGTTCTAGATATTTCATATAAATGGAGTCGTGCAGTATGTTTTTTTTGTGACCAGTTTCTTTCACTTAATGTAATATTTTCAAGGTTCATCCACGTTGTAGCAGGTGTCAGTACTTCATTCTTTTTTTTTTTTAATTGTGGTGAAATATATTTAACATAAAATTTACCATCTTAACCATTTTTAAGTTTACAGTTTGGTGGTATTAAGTACATTAATAATTTTTTGCAGCCATTATCACCATCCATTTTCAGAGCTCTTTTCATCTTGTAAAACTGAAATCCTATAACCATTAAACAATAACTTATCACTCCCTCCCACCCCGCCGCAGCCCTTGGCAACCACAATTCATTCTACTTTTTGTCTCTATGATTTTGAGTACTCTAAGCACCTCATATAAATGGCATCATACAGTATTTGGCCTTTTGTGACAGACTTATTTCACTTAGCATAATGTCCTCAGGGTTCATCAGAGTTGCAGCATATGTCAGAATTTCCTTCCTTTTTAGGCTGAATAATATTCCACATATGAGGGTACATCAAAAAGTTCATAGAAAAATAGAATTGAAAGATAATACAGATCTTTCTGTGAACTTTTTGAAATACTCTTGTATGTTTATACCACATTTTGCTTATCCATTCATTTGTTGGTGGACACTTAGGTTGTTTCCACCTTTTAGCTATTGTGAATAATTCTGTTATAAACATGGGTGTACAAATATATCTTCAAGATCCTGCTTTCAATTCTTTGGGGTATGTACCCAGAGTAAAATGGCTGTAGTATATGGTAATTCTATTTTTAATTATTTGAGGAACTGTAATACTGTTTTCCACAGCACCTGTACAGTTTTACATTCTCCCAACAGTACACAAGTGATACAGTTTCTTCACATTCTTGTCAACACTTATTATTTTCTTTTTTCTTTTCTTTTTTGATAGTAGCCATCCTCATGGGTATGAGGTAGTATTGAGATCTTTTTTTTTAACATAGGTGCTTACAGATATACATTTCCCTCTAAGCTCTGTTTTTACTGCATCCCCAAAGTTTTGTTTTGTTATGTTTTCCTTCTCATTTGTCTCAAAGTTCTAATTTCCCTTGTGATTTTTTTTTTTTTTTTCTTTATCATGTTTGGGAGTATGTTGTTTAATTTTCACATGTTTGAATTTCCCAAATTTTCTTATGTTATTGATTTCTAGTTTCATTTTCTTGTGGTTGTAGAACATGCTTTCTGTGATTTCTATCCTTTTAAATTTATACAGACTTGTTTTATGGCCTAGCATATTGTTTATCCTGCATAGTGCTCCATATGCACTTGAGAAGAATGAATATTCTGCTGGTTTTGGGTGGAATATTACATAGATATTGTGTTATTAGAGTAAAATATATATCATTTCAATCCGATGATTTAATACTTTGAGGCTATCTTCCACTGACTTATAGAAAGAACCCCCTGCTTATGTTATCTTTCTTAATTGGAAAGCAGATCTATGGTCAGAACATAGTATGTTTAGAGTGATAGATTTGCATCTTGTTTGTGCCCGTTACTTCCTGGTAATTGGTATCATGGGCAAGGAACTGAACTTTTCTAAGACTCAGTTTACTGTGAATGTTTTAACAATGATTGAGTTCTTTGCTTATGTAAATTTTTGAAAACCTAAACACATAGATGTTCCTATAGGTTGCAGTTCCTTTGCATTACTATATCATTAATTATCATGTAGTAACACCATGAAATACATGCTTGGCCTGCTGTTACAATAAAATGCATGTGTACAGTGATAGTTTTATGAGTTTTGGCAAACATATACACCTATATAAGTACCACAACCCCGATCAAGATAGAGAGCATTTAATCATTTCCGAAAGTTCCTTCCACCCTAGGCAACTACCGATTTGTGTTTTGTCATTAGAGATTAAATTTTTATTTTCCAGAATTTCATGAAATGAAATTGTGTAGTAAGTACTCTTGTGTCTGGCACTGAATATATTTCAAACATGAATTCATGTTTTTGTGTGTATCAGTAGTTCCGTTTATTGCTAAGAGGTATTACATTGTACGAATATATTACAATTTATTTATCCATTCATTTGAGGGTGGGCATTTGGATTGTATACAGCTTTTGGCTTTTATGAATACAGCCACTCTGAATATTCCTCTACAGAGTACTTGATAGTCTGCTTTCATTTTCATGTCCCCAAGTGAAAGCATGGTCTGATTTCATTTGACCTAAGTGTTATTCAGGTGTGTGGTGTTTGATTTACAAATATTTGGGGATTTTCCTGCTATTATTTTGTTATCAGTTTATAGTTTAATTCTGTTGTTGTCAAAGAATGTATGATTTTTGTTCTTTTAAATTTGTCACCATTTGTTTTCTATCTCAGAATGTGGTCTATTTTGGTTAATTTTGCACGCACTTGAGAAAATGTGTATTATGTCATGGGTGGGTGGATTGGTCTATGTCAGTAAGGTCAAGTTGCATGATAGTGTTGTTCAGGTATTCCATATCAATATTTTGGGGGGTCTTGTGTTATCAAATTATTGAGAAGGGTATGTTGAAGTTTCCAAAAGATTTGACCATTTTTCTTTTCTGTTCCATAAGAGTTTCCTTTATATACAAGGGTACTTCAAAAAGTTTGTGGAAAAATAGAATTGAATGATAGTATGAATCTTTTCATGAACTTTTTGAAGTACCCTCATATTTTGAAGTTCTGTTATTTTGTATGTACACATTTAGAATTGTTTGCTTGAATTAACCTTTTATAATTATGTAATGTCACCCTGTATGCCTGTTAGTATTCCTTGTTGCAAAAACTACTGAAGTAATTTATTGATGTGGTTGGATTAAAATCATAATCTGTCATTTTTCTAGATGATTTGTGTCTGTTTCTTGTTTTTTTTTTATTTCCATTTGTCTTTTCTGTATCAATTGAATATTTTTATGGTTTTATTTCCATTTCTCTTTTAAAAATATTTTAAGTGCTGACTCAAATTATTTTAGTATTTTTTTCTCTTTGTACTTCAGTTTGTATACTTTCAGCTTGTTTTCAAGCTTACTGATCTTTTGTTCTTATCTGATTAATTCCATCCAATTGATTTTTTTTGGGGGGGGGATCTTTTTCATTTCTGGAGTGGTTGGCTGGCTGGTTCTTTTTAATATACGATTTCTTTCCTCATTATGTTGGTGATTTCTTGTATATCCTTGAGCATACTTATAATAGCTTATCTCTGGTATTTCTGTATTTTCAATTGACTGACTTTTCTCCTAGTCATGTGTCACAGTTTTCCGCTTCATACATGTTTAGTAATTTTTTATTGAATGTTGGTATTTGCAGCTTAATATTGTTGAGTGCCAAGTTTTGTTGTTTTCCTGTTAAAAAGTGTTGGACTTTATTCTTTCAGAAGTTGTTACATCCATCTATGGCTTATTTTTAAGTTGTTGTAGAGTGGATTTAGGGATAGTTTAGCCTCATTGCTAGGACCTAAGTATTCTGGTGTATCTACTGAATGCTACGCTTCAAATATATTTTAATCCCCCCCCCCCCCCCCCCCCCCCCCGGGTGTACTCACAAACCCATAGCAAAGATTCGCTAAAGTAAAACGTGCTGTGGGCAAAAACATTAGGATCTCAGGCTTCGCCACATTTCCTAAGTCTGTCTCCGCGCAGTGCGCCACCGGGCCGGCCCCTACTATTTTATCTTTAAAACTTTTTTTCATCTGGAATTAGCCTGAAATGCCTAATCTATGATTGCTAAGTAAGAGATCCTGTTAATTTTGTTTGAAAAATTTAAAGGAACTAGTTAGTGAACAGTTTGTCAAACTTGTCATGAGTAAAAATTAAACTTCTCTACTTGACCATATTCTTTGTATGGTAGTCTGTTTCCCATGACAGTTGTGGGGGAGGGGGAGTACCTGGATGTACCATTAATTAATTGTCATATTTCCGATTTTTTAGACCTAAAGATTGTCTTCGGTCTATTATGAGGAGGGTGAACCACAAAGATCCTCATGTTGCTATGCAAGCTTTGACTGTAAGTGGTTTCATTTTAAAATGTACCACAAAAGTATCTGCCAAAACTGAGCCCTTTTAACTTCTAATTTTATGTTTTTAGCTTCTAGGAGCATGTGTATCAAACTGTGGCAGAATTTTTCATTTAGAAGTATGTTCAAGAGATTTTGCTAGTGAAGTAAGCAACGTATTAAATAAGGTAAGAAACATTACTTGCAGAAATAAATAAAGGCAGTCTTCTTTCTTCAGGTAGTTTATGATTTTTTACATTTTAAATCACAAAGAATTATTCTGTGCTTTTTTTTTTTTCTAGGCTGTGTCTATCCAGTATATAAGTAAATGTTGTGTTTTTCTGAAGAGACTACAAATTCACATAACTTTAAGAGTTGGTTTTTTTCAAGCCATATTAGAGTATATTTAACCTTTTTTTTTCCCTATTATTCCTTTCATGTGATGAGGAAACGTGTATTTCTAAATTATATCAGTCTGTTTTAGGCAGTTTTTATAATTATTTTTGTAGTCACAGAGGTATTTTCTAGTGTAGAACCTTTCAGAAATACTGCCAAAAGAGTATGGCATTGCAGAGTTTTCATCTTGATATGAGTAAGGCCACTACCTGGCCATCACAGGATTTTGATACTGTAGTGCTGTTCTTTTACACCAAAAGTGGTGGTAGGGGAGTTTGTGCAAGGGACTGCCTCAAACTGTCCAGAGTTGGCATTCCAAATAAAGAAGCACTAAATTCCAGGATGATCAGTCCAAAGCATTTATTAAGGGAACTTACATATAGAGGGCTGCGTTGTCCTCAACCATGACAGACATTGAGAAAAGAGTTGTTCTACCTAGGTATATCTGTAATGTGGGGGTCTGGTTATGGAGTTTATATGAGGGTTTATGGAATTTGGCTGAGAGCCAGGGCTAGTGTCTGTGTGTTTAGCAACATGTTTTAGGCAACAACCTGAAACATGGAATGTTCAAGGCCCCAATTTAGGTCCAAGCCTGTGGGGGAAAACATGGAGCTGACTGGGTCACAGAATGGTCAAGAGTCTCTGTGTTTCTCAAACAAGACAAAGAAAGAAAGTGGGGGGAACTGGGGAACCCTACAACTGCCTACCCAATTGCATGTGGAATAAAGAATTTACATCCCACAATTCAAGGAATTTAAAAAATTTAAATTAGTAATATGTGTTTTCCCAGTAAAAATGTGTGCGTTCTATTAGTTCTGTCTTTTTTTTCTGGGATTGGTGGGGTGTTATACATCAAGAAAAAATTTTAAAATGTCACACAAGAAAATGCCTCACTTTTTTTTTTAGGGAAAAATAAGTAGTTTTAGGTTTTAGTAGAAGAAAGCAGTGGAGAAATGTAATAAGAATTTTAAATTCTTTATTTTTTAAACATTATGATTATGTGATAGTTCTTTTCCTCTTCTGTTTTGTTTTGGCATATTTAGTTATTTTTTACTAATTAATAAATATTGTCTTTTAATGTCCTGAATGCCCATCGAAATGTACAACTGTTTATGAAGAGATTCTAATATTATGTTTTCTATAATTTAAGTGAAGATGCAATATACACACTTTTATATAGTAGTATACTATTTTGGAAAAATTGCGTATAGGAAAGTATACTTCTTTTTTTCCAGATTTTTTTACAATGAACATATTGGTTTTATACTTAAAGGGGGATGTTATTTTGAAGAAATGAAGATTCCAACATGATTAAGATGCAGCGTATTCAAACAAGCCTCAAATACTTAAGCACCATGGGAAAAAGCACAGTCATGAACGTTAAAAGTCAGCAATTAGAAGTAAAGAAACCATAACATTTGTTCTGTCCTTCCAATTTTTTTTTTTTTTTTTTTTGGTCTTCAAAAAGCAAGAAAGGGCCGGCCCGGGCGCGCA